GTTTTTGGGTGAGCATGCTGTCTATTATGTTTATTACATCAATAGGTGGAATACTAGGAAATAGATTTTGAACATCGAATGAAACTAATAATGCATGCATTATTGCCACAGCGATAATAATAAAAACCATTTTGTCCTGAACAACTGGGTTAGTTTAAACAAAAAAAACAAAACAACACTTTGCGAGAAGCACTAACTAAACTAAATTGGAAATGGTGGAATTATCTAAATGTCATAACATGTTGGAACACCATTTGCGCAATTCGAAACAACCATATTTTAGAATTCCGTGTTAAATTTTATAAATATGTGAATCAAATCGTCGTCATAGAAGTCATAATTTTCGAGATTTGAGGATATTCATTTTCGAATAAACATCGAATAACTAGGAAAGAAGCGGAAGCTTGCCCATAGGTTACTGTACCTCCTCTGATGGGGATCCTCCCCACAAGATTCTTTACAGAGATCTATCCTCAGATTTGACTAGAACTTGCCTAACATCTTTGCGATGTCCGCCGATATGACATATTTTTGGCATCTGAAGCGTAAATTGATAGAAAGTCGATCGTCTATAGTAGGACCCACTAACTGGTTGTCGTTTGGTGGTATGCCAATTAAAGTAACGGCTGATGCATCAAATACTTCTCTCAAAGCAGTAGTTAGGCTATTAGACTTTAAAACGCCGTGATGTGGCATGTAACAAGTCATGTCTTTAAGAGAATGTGGATTTTCCATGAAAGACATGTGGCCCAAATTCTAATGTTTCTGCATACCTGAAGTTTTAGTTTAGAATCACGCTCCAGCCTTTTTTTAAGAAATAGAAATCGGTTTTCTGCCTGCCCAACGGACTCACCCAAGCAATCAACTGATTGCTTTAGCGGTAACGAAACCACGAATAGGTTACTTTCATCTCGTACCGTGATCTGCATGAAATGTTCCTCACAAGCATGCTCTTCCCCGGACATTTGTTTGATCGGTGAGATCTCATCCACTGCCCAGAATTTTCAAAGTTCATGTTATTTAGACCTGAGACAATGACAGTGTAGATTTGTCTAGCTGTAGACGGTCTACAATCTAGTAAAGCGTGTATGACGTGAACACTTTGAAATTGATCAAAAATTTCCACGCTGGCTGTAGAAAGCAATACTTCACTTGTTTCTAACAGCAAAGAACTTTATGTGCTTCGGTAGAACGACTTTCCTACTTCGAAGAATCGTTATTTTGATTTGGCTAGACCCCATTGGAATTTTCAGAATTTTCAAACGCGTTGGCAACATTCAACAGTGTATTGTGCCGTCTGTTACAACGTCTGCAAGTACCGAATTTGAAAGTCTTCTCAAAATGACCGCTTTGGAGACAATTAGAGCATAAACGAGCCTTTTTCACAAAATCATTTCTTTCGTTGACCGAAACTTTGAAGAAATTTTCGCATTTGAGTAAGATCACGTCAAGTCTATACATCTATCTATCTATATATCTATATAAACGATTTTTTAAAATTTTGATTTTAACAACATTTTTTTTATAATGAAAATTTTAAGCACTTTTAATTAAAAAATGGATTAAAAATCAACCGTAAGAGATAAATTTATGAAATTTTCTGCATCCACTGTCAAATATCTATATTTTAAGAATATATCAAGGACTTAAAATTGTTTGTTTATTTTCGTATTGTTAACTAACTTTCAAGTTAACAAATGAAAATTTAACTGATTTCTTGGTAAAAAAAAATCATGTTTTTTTTTGTCGGTCACATGCTTTCAATATTTAAGTTTAAGATTTCGGAAGAAAATTTCACTGCTCATGATTAGTTTAAACAAAATGACTTATTTATGAATTGAAGATATTATCAGTGACAATTTAAAATAATAATACAAAATATTATTATAAAACAAATTTTATTATTATTTATGTCATTTTATTACAATTATTATTAATAAAATTTTATTTTTTTTAACAATATTAACAATCATAACATACTGAATAGAACAAACAAGCTTAAATAATAATTAAATTGTAAATTTGTCGTCAATTATTTATTTTTTTTAACTTTTTTTTTTAAATAAATACTTTTTCATCATCTAAAACTAGCCTGCATCCTAGTGAAAAATTTTCCAGTGATTTTTAATAATGAATTTGGCGAGTATTTTTTTATTGTAGTTAAGCGTTCGAATCGTGGCTGGTTTTTTTTTAAAGAACTTTGGGCCCACTGAAAAAAGGAAAGTGGGGTTGTTATGTGATTATTTTTATCAAGTTGGAGACTAGCACGATAAGCTTGTCATTTTACACTACCTGCTAAGCCATCACATGCTCCTTTACCAAAATCATTCTTATGATTAATTAAATTGGCAAAACTATATTTAAAAAATAATTAAAATTAATTTTTTAATCACATAATTTCATAATTCACTCAGCCCATTTTAAATCACAGAAAATATTATTATAATTAAAAATTATAATACTAAAATATTAACTAAAAAAACACAACTCAACAATACTCCAGCTTTTACTTTTGATAATTATTTCATGCTTTGCGTATAAACTTATGCCACGAAAAGACAGGAATGACTTCTGAAATTATTTTGTTATTTACTAGGATACGCGAGAAACAAATGAAAACCGTAACGGAGCGGTTTTTCTTTTGTTAACTAAAGATGGAGTGTTGACTAGTAAATTTAAAATTAATAATTTACTAAATTACCTAAAAAAAATAAATATAGACCATAACAATTTTAAAAATTGGTAAAAATAAAAAAAATGATAGTATTCTTTCTAACATAGTTAAAAAAATAAAATTTTATTAATAATAATTATATTAAAATAATAAAATTTGTCAAATTTTCATTATAATTTTTTTTTTGTTAAAATCAAAATTTTAAAAAATCGTTTGGGGGATCAATTTTCCATCATAAGTACTTATAAAAAATACATATGGATTAAGTTTTTATGATCAGGTGGTAAATGGGGGAGTCCACTTGACGTGATCTTACTCATTTGTAAATTAAATGATCACCTTTGCAATAGACGCATTTGAGATTTGCAGCATAAAAACTGCGTTTCTTTGAATTTGGAATTTTTGTTCGGGTTCTGTTAAGATTTGTCAGAATTTTTTGCTTCGATTGTTTCGAGCATATCAGCACGACCCTTTAAAATGTTTTTAACTTTTCCCAAGTAGTAATCTTGTTACTAATTTTCTTATTGCTCCCACTCTCTAGCAGTAGTTTTGTCTAATTTTGTAGTAATTATATATCCCAATGCTCAGTGATGCGTGAGCCGCTTCATAACTACAAAAAAAGTGTATCCATTTTTACAGTAAAATGTATTATTAAACCTATTTGTATCACTAAAAACTCATGGCTAAATCAGCCTTCACTTTTTAATTGAACATGAAATTATTGTAAGCAATAAGAAATTGCCACTTAGGTAAATTTGTGAAAATATTCTGCAAAATATGTATATTATGCTAAGTATTCAGTATTTTGCAGTAGTATTATTAATTAAACTTCTAAACCAAACAGACCCAACTTTTCTTAATTTTAAAAATTAACAGATAATTTTTAACTTCCAAGTAAACAACTTTACGTCAATTCAAGAACTGTAACAAATTTAAAAGACGGCTGATCCTTATCAGCAGTTGCCCAACATTTTAACATTAACAAGACAAAAAGAAACACGTGCAAGGAATTTTATATTTTGTGCAATCTCCATCCGCATCGATCACAGTTTGAAATCTCCAGCTCATGGTCATGAAAGGAGTTGTGAAGTTTTCTTCAAACGACAATTCTTCCCATACTTCCTGAATTCCTTGCCATAGCTTATCGCTGTTTTGAGGCATACAATTTCTTCGATACAGCCGCTTTAGCATTATCAACCATATATTTTCGATTGGGTTGATGTCAAGACATAACGATGTTTGCAGTGCTTTTTACTCTCTGCCATTTTAGCGAAAAAGGAAAAACAAGCATTGACATTCAATATTGAAATAAATGTTCTTTTTATATATCAAAGGGCACACCATTTATAGAATTTTTAATAAATTCGAAATAACTAATAAGGTTGGTGGATATAAGAACTGACAATAAAACTAAATTCCATATGTACAATAGCAATTACAAGGAGTTAACAATAATGCATGGAGTACACACTTAAAATAAACGAGAAAATGGACCATCTTCTTCTGGACACTTATTGGTCAATGTAACTATTACATTATAAATCATTTTCTGATAACGGCGACCATTAAAATCACTGTATGAAGGAACGGAGATCACCTCGAATCTCTATGTGGAGGAGGTAAAACTCCATATTGTCCAGTATGTCGGGTGAGATAACTAGGTTATTAACAATCTTAAAAGAGGAACCAATATCCAGATATTCTCTCCAATCCCGTAATGTAATGTGTGTAAGTTGTACTGAGTCATAATTTGCTCCAGATCTAGGTGCAAACCTTTAGGCATGTTTAGGAAACTCTCAGGATGGACTCCATCCGTTTTATATGAACTCCACACAACAAATTATAGAACTATATTCCGAAACTGATTGAACAAACGAGATATAAAGTAAAATACAATTCAAATAATAACAATATTTCGACATTCTCATTACGAATCTCAACATTTAGTTGGTGTGGCTAGTAACTGATCGGTATGTTATAAGTTATCTGTGAACCGAAACATAATGTCTTGATGGTTTCAACCCCTCAAATATTGTAACCGCAATCAATAACACTTTTTTTACGACGAAAATCTGTATATGAAAATTTATTGAGGTTTCATTTCAGATTGTTGACCAAACACAGCAGATCGAAATCTAAACACCATCTTGTGGACTGTTTCAAAACTTGACAGCTGTTAGTTGCAGCAGAAAATGTCTGTCTGTCTTCATGTAGCTTTTCTCTGTCGATTTCTTTTAAAAAGATCATTCAAAATTTGTATGGGAAGTTATAAGGGCATGAATAAAAATACTGTTAAATAATAAAAGTTTTATTAAACAAAAGCCTGGTTATAGGCATAAGGCAATTCTAGGAAATCGATTCTTTGCTTGTCGCGGATTCATTTCCTTTGTTTATTTTCCTAAACTTGCTTCATGCTTTATGCCGTATTTAAAGTCGTAGTTTGTTTATTAAGGAACAATTGCACCGAATGCCGGTTCTCAAGAACCAATTGTATCGCAAATTGACTATTATTTGAAGGAGATAATAAAACAATTGCATTTTTTGGGCGTACCATCGAAATTAGTGATTGTTTTCCATAGACAGGTACAAAAATTATTATTTGTAATCTGTGATATCTAGCTCTCACTCCAGCTGCGGTAAAATAGAATATTTAATTAATTTCACAAAGCGCTTAATTTAGGACTAGCAAACATTTCTAAAGAATAACTGATAATATTTATGTAAAGGACGGAATGGCACTAGAATAATACAAATCAGTCTAGAAATACGAAAACATACGCCACACGCACACAGCACGTTGTTATATCAGCAGTTGTTATTGAGCCTCTTCAAATGAACCCATACGCCATCTTTGGGTGAAGGGACGAACGTTTCCGTCGCGTGTTCCAGAGTCGCCGAGCTACTGGATCGGAGGGATAGTTCAAAGTTTCTTATGATCTCCAATATGCCTACTTTCACTTGGAGCAGTCCGAAACGGAAACCTTAAAATTAAAGGGGCATTGGAGCATATTAAGTTAGTGGTTAACCTTTATCGTCTTTGGTACTATTTATTTAAACTTATAAGTTTATTTAATGATCTTTGTCCAGTATAAAAGTACAATATGAGTCAAAATACCAGGCAATTGATAGAATAAAATTATTACTATTCTGCGGTGACATAACGTTTCAACTGGTCGAGCATCTTTCAGTACTCTATTTATTGTATACACCTAAAGAGGACTGGAGATACATACCAGTATTTTAATAATTTTGTCTATTACTTGGGTCACATTGCCAAAAATAATTCAAAATGAAGAATCCATTATTTACTAAATGTCCTTAGAGGAGAAAGTTTTATTTTAAATCTTCCTGCACTTCCTTGTTAATGGTTTTTATTATAAGAAAATCTGTCTTGCTTCTTTTTTATTCTTCTTTTTTTCTTTGAGTGATATACCAAACTCATTGTTTATGATTCATATAATGGAAATTGCCTCTTGTCACTGACTTTGCTGTAATATTGAGTGTATGTGGTTTTACTCCATATATTATTTTCACAAATTTTTGCAATTTGTTTTTCTCGATGTGGTGTAGAAGTTTCACAAACATTTATTTCCTCTTCATTTTTTTTTATTATTTAAGTAGCGTAACGTCGACATTCGTTTCTATAAGTGAACTGAATTGTCTACTGTACTATGGTGTAGCGTATTCATTGAACATTGAATACTGTATTTATTTGGATACAACCCAGATATACTGGAGATGCGAACCAGAGTACAGCAATGTATGTACCCCAAGACGACTGGAGACACTTGACCAGTTGAAACTTTATGGAAGTGAATAATAAAAACAATGACAGTGCAAAATATCTCATTTAATCAACATTTACCACAGTCTACGACCTTCAAGCAAACAAGAAATCATATGCGACGCCCTTCCAACTGCTCAACTACTAAGCATATGTCTTAGATAATAACACTCTATATTCTACCTAATTCTATCAACTTTTTTTTCCCGCGACTATCACTTTATCCTATCATTTTTGAAAAATATTTCCCTATAATTTAATCAAAATTTTTAATTAATTAATGGTGGACAGCTTTTCGTCCTACCTAGTTAATTTCACAAATGTTTATTAATAAATTATTTTTAAAACGTAGTTGTTCTAGAAAACAGTTGTGGTACAATGTTGGTACAAAATATATATATTTTTTTAAATTTACTTTGCATACATAAGTTTTATGAAAAAAAAAATAGGATAATTTTTTTCACTGCCATTGCGTAAGTTTTTCTTTAAACTTAGTTACGAAGATAGGGGTATGCCAATCCAATCCCCTCCAGTCATTTTTAAGAAAAAAAAAGTACACCACTGGACCACGTACACGCGATGGCAAGTGCCAGTAATTTTCCAAGTAACTACAAGTCGAGGGCTACTCGTTGCTTGCCCAGTACTTGGCAAGTTTCATATAATCACACAAGGTCTTTAGACTAATAAGGTCCGCGTAATTTCTGAATGGGACAGCACGTGACGATTGGTATTGTTCCTACAATTGTACAACGCAGACACTCCAAAAGTCGTACTATATCGTGGTCTATAGCGGCCAAGAGAAACGTGGATAAAAGAAAGACAAATCCTACATTTTTCGAGTAAATAGCGCGTAATCGAAAGGCAAATCCTAAAGTCCAGAAATTTTGTTGTCAGTGTTTGTGGTTATGGTACCAATACAGATCATTATTGATTTCGTCACTGTGTGTGACGCAACTGCACAAGCGCTGTGACTGTGGTATACCTCAATACAGCGCTGTGCTGCATGCTAGTTGCCAACGATAAATTAAAATTACATTACGACGTCATTGTCAGACCTCATATTGTCACATACGCTCACTAGATGTTTGTTTTTCAAAACAGGTGTTAGGTTAAGTTAGAATAGTATACGATTCGAATATTCCAAACAAAAAATGGCAATGTATTATGACTATAGGGAGTTATTACGTACTTTAAAGTGAGATAATGACATTCTACTTGTAGAGTTTAGGCATATTCTATGTGTGTCAAATATTTTGGCGGTGGTTATGGGTCTTCCAAAATTTCATGAAATAGACAGCGTTACGTTAGCGTTCAGACAAGTGATTTTTGCAAATATTGATCAAGATTGTACCGAATATTTTCAACGTTTAATTCAAGAACATGGTCATGAAAATACTCCTAATTATCAGAATTTAGACATTTATCGAGAATCACATTGAAGCCGTCGTGAACAGTAATGGAAACAACACGAATAATTATGTATATATAGATATATTTAGACATTGTATTGGAACGGTGTAGATCTTTTCATTTTTGTGTTTTAATCGACTTTATGGGTTTTCAAAAATTACCATAAAACACGACGTCGGAATCGGACAATCAAATGCTGTTTACAGTATGTACTGACATTGAATGTGTCCATTTGGTAGGGATGGTCGTTTTTGCAAATCGTTATTAACAAAAGACGATAAACAAGATTTAGCTAAACTTTTTTTAAACATGATATTCACAGTGAATATCGAAATACAGTACCTGAACGTAGAATTATTACAACGTTGGATGAAATAGATAAGAAAATTGACAATTTTTCAAAGAAACTTCCATATGCTACGGTAAGTTCCTGGATTTCTCCTGCGTCGGTTCTGGATGAATCGTTTCACCAATCATCCTGTTTTGCTTCTTCGGAGTTTAACTGAAACTGTTTCGATTCAGCAACAACCGACGTAGGAGGAACCCAGAGGATTTGTAAATAATAAGGAAATTGATACACAGGGTGAGTTCACTGACAATAATGATTTTAAAGTAATACATCAGGAAGCAGTGCAAAACCTTTACCATTTTTTTAAGAGTAACTGAAACTATTTTCCTCAATGCATCACATAATATGACCAACACCATTCAAAGAATAAATAATGCATTATCTAAAATTAAAACCCTAGCCCAAGTAGAAAGCATTTTAGCCAAAAAAAATAAGTGTCAGTTAGAAAGTCATATTTTCTATCGATTTGGATGTTCATGGCGAGTAAATAGAACAGCCGTTAGCCTTGATAAAATTTGTTAACCCAAAAATTTTGTCCTTGTACTTTTTCTAACTTGTTTGGATCAATTGCGCAGAAATGGCCAAGGGTAAATAAGGACGTCCATAATTACTCCATTATTTATCAAAATCTATTTTTTTACATTATTTTTGTAATTACTGCTTTATTTATCAAAACCTGTAGTAATAGTTCTTTATTACAGATGCATCGAAAATATATTAAGGAAAAAAGACCAGCTCACACCATCGAAACTTTACAAAGAGCTGTGCAAGAAATTAAAGAGAAAAACATTCCTTTTCAGGTGGCTGAGAACTATGGTATCCCCAGAGCGACCCTTTTTGATAAAGTAAAAAAGTCTGTGCCAAAAAGAGGTAAGAAGTCAGTTTTCAATGGATCTCTAGGAATCGAACTGGTTCAATAAATATCATTTAATCAAGAACAAACCGATATATTTTTGAAAAAATTAAAAACACTCACGATAAAATACCAATTTAAGTCGAATTCAATCTACAATATTGATGAAACAGGGATTAGTATTGTATAACGAAATTGCAAGATTCTCGCACCGAAAGGATTAAAACAAATAGGTAAATGTACCAGTTCATAACGTGGTTCCTTGACCACAAGTACTGAAAAAGTTGGGAATGGCTTTAAGTCTGCTGGAATTTGTCCAATGGATCGACATAAATTGAAAAACATTTTTTAAAGTTCTAGTGATATTTCCGCATCAGTCTCTCCTCTTGAAAAACGGGTACAGACAGATACAGATACAGATACAATACAATCTCAGGAAATATTACAACTTACCAATATGTGGCTAATTTTGACGATTTCAATGAAACAATATCTACGTCTGTATTAGTGAAACTAATGTAATCAAAGTATAACAAATCAAACTTGTCCATCTCTCTTACTACCACTTAGTGATGTAGTGCAAGTATCAACTTTAAAACCTACCAGCACAAAAACATTCCATTATTTTAACCTTCATACCGCAAAAAGTAACCCTAGAGCAAAAAGAACACAATAAAATAGACAAGAAAGAACAAGAAAAGACCAAAAATTACAAATAAGAAACAAAAAACACTAAAGAGAAACGACCAAAAGGTTTAAAAAACTTAAACAATTTTCAATGTGATAAAGAAAATGATGAATATATGAAAAGTATTGTGATCCACCCACCGAAGGCTGGATTATGTGTGTGTGTTGGGTCTTCTTCAGGAGGCTACGTTTGTAAATTCTCCAAATCGTTCGTAAAAAAATTAACTCGGCATTTACCGCAAGAGATAAGGGTAATTACGAACATATATGTTTTCCTTTTTGATTAAAATTTTAATACGTGTTCATTGATATAATTATTAATGTTGATTTCATAGGTAAACAAGTATAGTTTAATAATTAATAAAGACAGACTGATTATTATTAATAGATTGACTTCTATTTGTGATTCTGCCTAAGCGTCAGCTATTACCCCCCTACATAGATTATAATAGCTACAGTTTATGGTCAGTTTATCGATCACTCAAGGAAGGATAATGACAGGAAGTAATGATTAATGACACCAAAAGCTGGGTGGTCATATTGTGGTATCATTAATCAAATTATATTAAGCATACAAGTAAGTTGTCATTAACTTTCTTAAGTTGCCTAGACTGTAACAGCACTCTTATTAGATACTGGCTGGATTTGTCTTTTCTTTGTGCGCTATTTCTTCGACCCATGTATACCACGATACAGCGCAGATCGTTACAACGTGGTAGGAATTGTCTTTCCTTTAGGTGCCGTTGCCTACTTTCGTTTTGACACATAATTTATCTTAACTGAAGTTCTCGCGCTATCTAATAAACTAGGCTTTAGTTTCGTTTACCAGGATTAAGTTTGAATAGTCTTAACCTCCCCTGTATATATTTCTATTTTTTTGTACATTTATACTTCGATTCTTATGAATGAAGTCGATTATTATTAGATTTTGAATCCAAAAGTTGTAAAGATTATTTGAACGCACAATTTAAAATTATTTTATATAAGTATACGGTGCGGCTGAATTCCTTTAAAAATTACTCAACTTTTGTATTAATTATTATACATACCAAAACCTAATAATTTTTGCAATATTTTATTTTTTCTAAAAAATACTAGTTTACACACTTGCAAAAGAAAAATACGATAGCGCCCTTATTTTTGAACGTATATTTGAAATTGGCGTTATTCGAAGATGGCGTAAAAGATATATGCGGCGGAATTCGAATTAGATACTACAGCGTGTTCAAAATGAGTTATGTCATTTTAACAGATTTGCAACTCTTGTTTTTCTATTCTGTAATTACCAAAAGATAAAGGTAACGGTAACAGAACTGGTTGGATTTTTCTTTTCCTTGTGCCCTATTTGTTCGACCTATGTATACCATGAATACACCATTAATCGTTACAAAGTGGTAGGAATTGTCTTTCCTTTAGGTGCTGTTCCTAGGCTACCAGTGGATGTCTTGGTCTCCCAATAGTGTACAAAAATTTGTATAAAAGAAAAAGTGCTTCATTAAATATGAATTATATGTAACGCCACTGGCCCCACCGTTCGACTTCGAGTGACTTCGGGCTCTCCAATCGGTCATTTCCAATGGAAATAAATAAACCAAGTGTCTAATTTTTGTTTATACACCGCTAGTTTCTTACGTCTTTTATACGCCGTTTTACTTTGTTATACAAATAAGCCCATTTTCAAGGATATTTACCTATGCACTTGCGCCTCCCGTCCCCGAAAGGTAAAAACACGACATTAGGTCTGTTCTTCCTGTTCTCGCTGTTGAAGCGTTCCGGGTCGTACCTGTCCGGATCGGGGAAATATTCCGGGTCGGCCCCGAATCCCGACATCGGAAACCAAACGCGCGTACCTCTTTCGATCACCAGGTTCGAATCCTTGACGGCGTAATTTTTGACGCACCTCCTTCTGAGGAACGTCGTGGCAGCGGAATGTCTGCGCATAGCCTCTGCGAATGAAGAACCGTCTTGCGTCCAAATAATAATGTTTCTAGTCATAGGGATAGCAGATGGGGGGTACCGCAGGGAAGCGTGTTGGGGCCGCTATTATTTATTATTTATATAAATGATATGCATCAGGTTTTGAAAAACTCCTTTGTTAACTTTAACCGTGTATCGCGGTTTTTGTCGCAGTGAACTAGGATATTAGTGTATAATAGTATAATTTTATAATAGTTACAGTTACAATAAAATAGGGTTAAGAGAATCCATCCTCAACTGTGATAGATATACTCCTATAAAGAGTATGTTAGACCAGCTAAATTGGCTAAATGTCGGGCAGTTCATTAGAAGAGCAAGTTTAATGTTGGTTTATGGAATTGCGCACGATCACCAACCATTCTATCTTAAATTATGGTTGGAAAAAAGGTCAAACTTTTATCAATATAATATACGTTCCAATCAGCACTTTAATGTTTCTATAGTAAAAACAACAAATTTACAGAAAACTCTATTCTACGATGGTGTTTGTAATTTTAATGAACTGCCGGATAATATTAAGGGCGCGCCTTGCCCAAGAGTGTTCAAGAAGAGACTAAATAGCCAAGTGCTAAATAAATATATATTACTTATTACTTACTTACTTAAAAGTAATACTATTGTAATAAACCGGAACTCACCGTTAATACAATTATCGAGGTACCCGATACCGTCTACCAAGTCGTAATTGTATTGGTCGTTGCCCGCTAACGCGCAGTCGATTTCGTTCCTTAATTTACTCTGGACGTCCCGATTCTTTGCCAGTTCGTACAACGTGAAAGCGGACACGGCCGCCGACGTTTCGAACCCCGCCCCATAGAACAACATCATGTGCGACACGACGTCCTCCGAAGTGAACCGGAAGGTGTCGTTGGACATCCCGTTTCCGTATTCTTGACTTTCGCTTGCTGAAATGAAATGTCGGGGGTTTGCTTTTTCGCGTAAGAGGTGTGTTCAAAAAGACGACATTTTCCTTATTTTGTAGTATTTTGACGTTACAATTATAATTAATTATAAAATTAATTATTATATAAAAAGGAATTATAATTTACTGGGGACGAACATTAACGAGACAAATGACTATTCCAAAGAAATCAGAATAAGAATAGAAAAGTCCAGAAGTGCTTTTAATAATATGAGGAAATTGTTGTGCAGCAGGAATTTGAGCTTAAGTTTGAGAGTGAGGATGCTCTTGTATGGCGTGGAGGCCTGGACTTTGAATAAACAATGCCTGAATAAACTAGAAGCTTTTGAGATGTGGACGTACCGAAGAATTTTAAGGATATCCTGGACGGACAGAATGACAAACGAACAAGTACTTGTAAGGATGGACAAGCAACGTGAAATAATAGATACGGCCAAAATAAGAAAATTGCAGTATCTAGGGCATATTACACGCGGAGAAAAATATAAATTGCTACAACTGATGATGCAAGGTAAAATCCAAGGTAAACGGAGTATCGGAAGGAGAAGGATGTCATGGTTGCGTAATCTGAGAGAATGGTTTGGATGTAACTCCAACCAATTGTTTCGTGCTGCAGTCTCAAGGATACAAATTGCATTGATGATTGCCAACCTTCGTAGCGAAGATGGCACGTGAAGAAGAAGACGTTACAATTATGAAGGGTGCAATTAAATAATGATGATAATCGGAGATAAATTTCGCACATTTCCGGGATTTTACCGCACGGATTTGGGAGCAATCTGATTTCGGAGATATTTCTTACGCTTTGAGTTTTGACGTTTGTTAATTCTGACAGTCAGTGAATGTATTCGTGTTGCTTTGCAGAAATGTACCCAAAAACTAACGGTCGTAGAAAAAGTATAGTATGCAACACGTTCGGTAAACGTCATTTGACTCACGAGTTGCATAATATACTATATTTATTCACCAAAATTAATGTTGTACACGTGTGCCAACGCTTTTCCAATCCTCGAAGCACTTCTGGTAACCACTTTCTTGAGCTCTTCCAGCGATTTTTTCTTTATCTCCTCAATCGTTCCAAACCTTCTTCCTTTCATCGGTTTCTTGACTTTTGGGAACAGAAAAAAGTCGCAGGGGGCCATATCCGGTGAATATGATGGCTGAGGTATGATTGTGGTTTCGGTTTTGGCCAAAAAGTTAGACCCAAGCAACGACTAGTGAACAGGTGCATTATCCTAATGCAAAATCCATTAACTGTTTTCTAGTGTTTCTAGCCTCTAGTGTTTAACAAAATTTCTAGTAGTTTTAAAGAAGCTCCAAAAATATTTTGGTTTTTAAAAAACTATGTAAGCATATAAGATTTGAGTTTACTTTAATATTTCCACAGTGTAACTGAGTTGTTTATTTTTCTCTGTTTATAAAATTGCATCAGCCACTTCTCTAATAGTGATTCGACGATTTTTCAACACCATTTTTTTCGCTTCTTCGACGATTTCGTCAGTTATTGACGTGCTGGGGCGTATTTTGCAGCACTATATTCCATTTTTTGCACATTTTTTACATAAAATTATATGTAATTTTATTTTATTAGCACTGTCATAAACAACAGTATACAATCATTCATCGCGAGAATATAATATAAAATAAAGTACAGCTAGATTACTCATAAAACGAAGAACATACATATTCTTCTAGTTAGAAAGCGTAAAACGCTTTACTGGCATCCGAACCTACGATGTAGTGTCAGAAATTCATAAAAAAATACCGCGTACAGAGTGAGTCAACGATAGAGAAAAGTTATGAGAAAATGGTAAAGCCCTTTTAAAAATTTATTTATATAACAAGTTGATAGAGACGGATAGTAACTCACGGCGCTTGTATATGTTTCTTTTTTTCTTCTTCTTCTTTTGAATTAATTTATTTTTTGGTTTCTATTACTAGGCATAAATTTATTATTATAGTCATTACATTGAACACAGTGCATAATGATATGTTTAGTTTGTTTTTGGCACATAATTTATCTTAATTGAAGTTTTCGCGCTATCTACATAAGCTAAGCTTTAGTCACGAGGTTAAGTTCGAATAGTCTTAACCTAGATCTCCCCTATATATATTTATATTTTTGTACATTTATACTTTGATGATTATGAATGAAGTCGATTATTATTATATTTTGAATACAAAACTAGTAAAGATTATTAGGATGCACAATTTTAAATTATTTCAAAATTTACGGGGCGGCTCAAAAAACCGTGAGAAATAAAACATAAATTTGTTTAAATGGATCACCCTAATCAAATTTTGTTTTCAAATCATTTAAAAATTATTCAACTTTTATATTATTATTTTTACTTTTATATTTATATATATATATATTTATATTTATTTATATTTTACTTTTATATTATATTATTATTATAATTATACATACCAAAACCTAATAATTTTTCCAATATTTTAATTTTTCTAAAAATTACTAGTTTACACACAGATGACGTAAAAGCTATATGCAGCGGAATTCGAATTAGATACTAGAGTGTGTTCAAAATAAGTTATATCATTTTAATAGACTTGCAACTGTTTTTTTTCTATTCTATAATTACCAAAAGATAATGGATAAAAAACCCATCATCTTTTGTATTTACAGTAGTTTTGTAAATTCCTCAAGATTAGGTTATAATATAGGCACACACCAAAAACAAAACAACTTTATAATATCCACACACATTCACATATCTGTGTCATGGCCACCTTTTCCAATTCAATTCAAATTTGTGTTTTAAGCAATTGAAAATTCTGAGAGCTTCGGTTCTGAAATGGTGAAATATATTTTTAAGTAATCAATTAATTTGTTCTATCAACAAAAAAAATCAATTTCATGGCCTATTTTGAAGTGGCAAAATTTATTGTTTCTTGTGAACATTGGTCCTTAAAGCTACGTAAACAAATCTGATAGATAACAGCATTGGTAAAGATTAAATGTTTCATTTTTGAGGACACAAAAACATTTTTTGCATAAGAATTGTAGCGAGTGCTTTAGATTGCCCAGAAAACTTGCAGCAAATTTTGATTTTTTTACCTTTGGTTCAATGATTTCTTCCTGTATTAGGTAAACGAGTGATAATTTTACAAAATGATTATATGACTTGAGAAAAAGTAAACCATATAAAATTTATGGGTGCCTTAAAAAGGGCTTTTCCTAGGCGATTGCTGACCTTGTCTTCAGATGGGTTTTTCTAATAATCTAACCAACAATGATACAATTATTTCACCTCATTAGATAGTCATATAAATGCCCAACACGCTAATAAAAATCGCATCCCAATGTCTTTATCCTAACCTAAAACATTAATAAAAGAACAATAGAAAAAAGTTGAATTTAGGAAAACATTTGCACTTTGCACTTTAATACGTTAATATGAGAAATACAATAAAAATAAATAAATACAATAAATTATGAGGGGTTTTTGTGACCATTTTTTGCTTATTTATATTATTATATTATTATTATTACTATATTATACTATACTTATATAATTATTATTACAATTGTAAATATCTTACAAATATTTTGTTGCTGTTCGAGAAAATCCACATAATTTTAAAAATGTTTATTTTAATTGAACCAATCGTCAAACAAATCATTTGCACTTTGCACTTTAATACGTTAATATGAGAAATATAATAAAAATAAATAAATACAATAAATTATGAGGGGTTTTTGTGACCATTTTTTGCTTATTTATATTATTATATTATTATTATTACTACATTATACTATTCTTATATAATTATTATTACAATTGTAAATATCTTACAAATATTTTGTTGCTGTTCGAGAAAATCCACATAATTTTAAAAATGTTTATTTTAATTGAACCAATCGGCAAACAAATCATTTGCACTTTGCACTTTAATGCGTTATTATGAGGATCGAAATAAATAAATACAACAAATTATGAGGGATTTTTGTGGTCATTTTTTGCTTACATAACTAAATTAAATATCTTAGAAATATTTTGTTTGTTGTACCAGAAAATCCACATAACTTTAAAAATGTTTATTTTGATTGAACAAATCATCAAATAAATAAATTGTTGTCAATTTCCCAAGCAAACAATATCAACGAAAACCAGGAAGTTGTTTTGCCTGCCTGCACGTATAGTTCTTCCTATCGCATTGCCTCATCGATATATTTTTTGAAATAGTTGTCTTATTTTTCTGTTCTAACTACACATTCACTTTCACGAAATTCGTCTAGAAAGTCTAGATAATAACATTAAATTAATAGTTAAAGAGACATTATTGCCTTTTTAGCTTCGTCATATACGTAAATAATTGAATTTTGTCTAACGTGGTGTTATTCAAATTCCAATATATTTTTTTTACGAAAACCGCAGGAAACAGTTGTAGGTAAATATTAAGAAAATTTAAAAATTTTGCAATCCGAATTTGAAAGGAAGTATAGAGTGAAATAACAAAATTGCTATTGATTTCGTGTAGATCTAGCAACGCTGCAACATATTTTGAAAAAGTTCCCTTAGTTCGTTCTCTTATACCGAACACCCAATGTCCGTTACCTTGTACACCAATGTTACTTGGAAATTGAACTAATTATATTTCCTGAATAGAAAACATTTCTAGTGGAAAGCGCTAAACGCAAAAATTGTAACTCTCGAAAAGAGCATTAAAATGAAACGTCTCCGTTTGCCATGGTTTGTCGTTTAAGTCCGAAAATGGCACTTTTCAGTTTGTGGAACATAACCGGGACATCCTGTATATTTTTGCCTAAACCATATATTGAGTTATTGCCCAAAATCTCGCGCGTTTTCTGGTTCAAGATTTTTTTTGATCGAATGTACGATGTTCGATTATCGATCCAGAAAAAAAGATTTCAAAATTTTTGTTTTTAAATACTTCGGGACTTCTGATCCCATCCAGTTTCAATATATTCCAACGTCAACTCGATAGCTCGAAATTTAATAATAGCCTACAAAATGGCCGCCGACGTCGTCTGTTGGATTTCATTGAAGTTCCACTGGAATTATTCGCAATTCCACTTGAATTGATTCAGTGGGCTCAAACTAAGACATATCATCTCAAAAAATACATATTTCAATAATTATGAATTTAAGGAACAGCCACATTTATCCAAAATCAATAAAAATTTCAAATATAATATTGATATTTTTGGTAGCAGTCAACAAATGGATGCTACTTTTGCGCTGGCTTTTGAGAAAATCAATTGTTTATTTAGACAGCGTATATATTAACACATTAAACCATCCCGAAAACAAATAAATTCAATATCTCCCCCTTTCGAACAAACTTCTTACCTTTATTCCTGAGCTCCAACAGTACCTCCAAAATGTCTTCCCTTGAAGTGCCGCAACGTTCCCTGCGGCCTATATTTTCTTGGGTTAATTTTTGGAAAAACTCGACTGCTTCCCTGTTGCTCAGCCTGAGATGCAGCGCGTTTACCAGGCTTTTGGGAAACCTCGGGACAAGGTCCCTGATTATCCGATTCCAAGTCGACCTTTTGGTCATTTTTTTCCCGTTACTCAGGATGTCCAAATTAAAGTTGCCTATCGTATCGCACTCCATCCCGAGGATGACGTTCCCGATTACGTCCGTGGTAAATCGAGCCAAAACGTCCTGAACGTTAACGGCTTTGTTTGCGTCAGAGTAATGTTGCAACTGCGTCACCAGCTTACAGCTGCAGCGGTTTACCAACTCGAATATGGTTGCCATTTGTGCTGGAAAAGGAAAACGGCTCAATTTCCTCCAATCTTTAATTGAGCAATTGCATATTCTATCTGTCTATTGGGTTTTTCTAATTTTGGAGATTTTGGTTTTATTTTCGGCAAAACTGGCTTAGAACCGGCGCTACTATGGTATTTCATTCTACATAGAATGTAAAAAGCCTATACGAGGCTCGACAACTTGGAAATACATCAGTAGTATCGTAGTACCGGTTCGAAGCCACTTTGGGCGGAAAATTTTGAACTTACGTGAATATTAGAGTGTGTTCGGTTTGGCGTGGACAACAATGTAAATGAGTGAAGTATAAATATCATCCAAGATGAAGAAATAGAATCATTAACTGAAGGCAACAAGCAACCAAATTACAGATCATCATTACACATCATCCAAGGAGATTTTAATGTCAAAGTGGGCAACGAAAGGATAGTCGAAAGAATAGTTTTTGCCTATTCAAGAAAAACATTTTTAAATAACGGGTACTTGCTTGTCCTTGCATTCAAGAAAACTATACACATGGAAAGCGCCACAAGACATATCTGAAAACACCGTTCATAACCAAACTGATTTTATCCTAGTCAACAAAAGATTTAGTAGAAGTATTACTAGGGCACAAACTTATCCAGCTACAACTGGACCAAGACTAGTCATGAAAATATCAAGTCTGATCTTAGAAGCGAACTAAACGAAGAACTGGAACGTATAAATAAATATGCAGTAGATTAACGCCAGCGGAACAATGGGAAACGATTGAAACTACTCAACAACAGTTTACAAAATGAGTAAAATCAGATGATTGCCACCGAGTGATCTACTAGAAATGTTTAAAGTTAAATCGTAGGAGGTACCTTTCATTTCGGTTTTCACATAAACTATGTGGCTAATTAGTAGATAGCAGAGCCATTTTCGTGCACTTTTGGTGACTACTTCACCTAGTAACCTCAAAAAAACATTTTGTTGTTCAGATTATTGTTGATGAGATTATGTACTGACTTTTTTAATGATATTCACGTTTTCTGTGTTAGTCGCTACATTAATTAAACATAAATTTTTGGTAAAACGAAGAATAGCTATAGTTCATAATAAATATAATAAATAACATTTTTATGATCAAAACTTTACCTTTTTCACACCCAGCTAGGCGTATAAATTTACGCGTTTTCATTATTAAGCTTTGATAAAACTGTTTATTAAATCATAATTGCTCCCCTATATGTAGACGTCATGCAATAAATAATATTTTTATTATTTATTTATTTTTATTATTAACGTTTAGCTTAAAGCGTCTTTGATTAAATTGTCTATTAAAGCATAAATACCACCTCTATACATTAGGATTTTGATAATTTAATATTTCACACGGGAAAATTTTTATCAATCAATTACGTGCTCGTAGCAATTGGGAGACTTTCAAAAATGTGCTTATCTACACTCCACAATACAATAGAGTTCAAAAAGATCAATTCTTTGTCGTTAAATATATTTTATCTCTCGTAATAAATATAAATAAAATGTCGCTTGGCGGCGTTGCCACATATAACGGTATATTTGAAATTGAAAACTCTTATAGAATTCTACAATACTTTATCGATTTCTGATGATTTTCGGGTAGTTTTTCGTCATATATTACTTTTGCGTAGACAGGTAGGATAATTTTGTGGTCTAAAATTTGTTATTTTACCGATTGACACAAAAATTAAACCAAAAATATGTCTTTTTTTAATTATCTACCCTCCATAGATTAGGATAGATACTCGCTACCCCATATTAAGATCCTTCTAAAACAACGATCATTAGTCTCACGGTGCTTCACCCTTTATATTTACCGGAGGAGAAAACAACTCTCAAAAGTCTCCTTAGATATTTCCAACGATCTCCCGTCACATTGGCAACATGTCCGGAGTGCGGCTCGACTTTCTCATTGCAGAACGAACCTCGATCCGAAAAGTATTCGAAATCGGTGTGGAGAATCCGTCTCATCAAGTCGATGTCCTTTACCACCAACAGAGGCTCGTAGAAGTTGTAAATTCCTAGAAGCGTCACACCTGAAACAATTCGGGTTTCTAGAAATAATATTTAAGATACAATTGGCATACTAATTTTGGAACCACTTAAAAATTTCAAACCTCGACCTTTAACAGACGAACATTCCCAGACGAATTAAGATCACAAATAAGATAAGTCAACTTCCTTGCCAGATTCGATTTTCAATGTTGATATTAATTTATTGACAAGCATTTTTTTTCTGAGTGGCAGTTGATAATTTCCAAAAAATATTTTCTTAAAATACTGAATAACGTAACATTAAATGAGCTTAATGCGATAAGAAAATAACACCCACTTCGCGGCCATATGTCGAAGACTAGTGGATGTAAAGCTAAAAACTACCAGATTGATTGTTTATAAGGAAATACAAGTAGTCCTATGGATCCCTAGGGGGCAATGCGTACTTAATGCTACGGTCAATTCTCAATGGGAACCCTCCTGAAAATCATTAAGAAGATAAAAAAATTATAGGATAGTTCTAACCTCGTTACAAACGGTGTGTGAAATGCAGTTTCATTTTACGAATTATTTGTTAGTCTAAGTTGACCTAGAATCCTGATTGTGTGTGAATGGTAAGTTAGAGCTAAGGTATTTTGAAAAACAGTCACTGATAGGATGTTTTCAAAATATCAAAATAACGTAAACCGTAGGGGGCAATGTTACTACAAAAATGACTGAGGATTAAAATCCTGTATGAAAAAATAAAGAAGAGATAGTAACTCTCCAATACGTTTGATTACTTCAAAAGGGTTGTTATTTAGGAGTTGGACCACACCGTCTAAAGACCAGACGTTAACTACTAATTGTTGCTGAAATAAGTCAAGAAAGTCGTCCAGAAATATTAAGAATGATATGTGCTCCGTCTTTTCCGAAAATCGGCCAAAGGTTCTGACAGTGACTGAAGCATTTTCATTCTTTTCAACATTGATAAAGTTGGGACCGACCATAGGATTGCAGATAAGTTTCCTGAAGATCAAGACTACTTTGTATACGTATATTTTATAAAATGACGTTAACCTTTTTTTTTACTACTTTATTTTTTTTCACCCTGTATATTATTTTCCATTTAGTTGAGAATAATCTGGTGTTTACAGCAATTAATAATGCTTATTTTAAAAAAATGTCAAAGTTTAGAAACCTCGATAGGCAATTTTTGATAGAATGAAATTAAGATTGCAAGTAATGCAGTTCGTGTATATACATTTTATTTCACTTTTCAAAAATAACTTTTTACAAAAATTAAAATGGAAATTAAAGTAAACACGGACATAGTCTCCCCGTGACCATAGAATGTTCTGGAGCCACGTTTTACAATATAATAAAAAATATTTACAGCAATTTTGTAGTGATATTTTGTTTGCAAAATATTGAATATTTTAGGAAACGTAGAATTTCCAGGGAATCCAAAATAGCTATACTATATAGAGTATCCAATTTAAAATATACGTTTTTTTAACAGCTTATTTTTATTCTTCATCCCTGAAATATGCTTAATATTGCCATACATATGCTTAAGTTAATATTTTCACTTTGATGTTTATGTTTATCGTGATCAATATTTCAATAAGACATAAAAAATGTTTTTAATCATCGATCAAGAGTGCGGGAAGCGTCACTCACTCAAATATACTCGTGAATCATATGCTGTTTACCGCACTTGTTGCATAATATACTACGTTGAACAACTCCAAATGAAGAATTTATTATGTACAAAAAATATTTTGTTGTATGCATATTAATTATATTTAAAAAACATACTTAAAACACCAAAATTTTACTGAATCTCTATAAAGAATATTGGACAGCGAGAAAAAAGATATTTACATTTTGAACACTTTAAAACACCTTTTGTCTTTAAGTTAGTTACTGAAATTAGTCTATATTTGGCAAAGATACAATTAAATTACAGAAAAAGAAACGTATACATATATAAACAAAAAAGAAAGTCATTTTAAATTAGCATGTACTTAGAGAGAAAGGGTGCTCGATTTACTGTTGTTGTAGACAACCTTTTGCGATCTTCCGTCAGAGTGAGAGTTGATTAATCATTTGTCTTTCTTTATAGAAATGATTAATTAAAAAAGCAGGAACAAGAATTTCGGATGAGGAAAGAAGTAAAAGAAAGCGACATTGTAACAAGAGAAGACGAGAAACGGAACAGATCGGAGAAACAAACAAAAAAGGAAAAGCAGGAAAGAAACAATAACAAACAGCCAATAAGAAAATTTTAAATATATATGTCAAGACAAGAACTAAAATCTGAAGAAAAATTTTTAAACGACCCTTAAAAAGATACAAGTACAGCGTACAGAAGAAGAGTTTAAATAAAAACTGATACTCTCACCACTAACCAAATAATCCACACGAAATGCTAGGCAAAATAAATATATACCTTTATACAAATAGTACAAATAACAGAGCTAAATTTTACAAAAAAAAATCGTCATTATCGTCATAGTCACATAACAATATTTTTAAACAGTATTAGAAACTTACCCATTGTTAATTTTGGATTCAACGTTAAGTTTTTTTGCAATCTACTTCATGTTTTAGAGGTTAATGTTTTAAGTTTCTCTTGGTTATGAAAAACATAATTTTGTTTTAATTATTACACGTTATTTGGGAAAAAGAATGTTAGTTCATTATTAGTTAACATTATTTCAACACAGAACATTCATTACTCATAAAAACAGCTTGTCTATAAATAAAATTTGATTCTTGGTCCCATAATTTTATTTTGAAATAATCGCTACTCCACAAAAATAAATAATAATAATCGCAACTACCTTGGAAAAACTGATATTTGAAAATTTCAACTGATTTCAATATCTACATAAACTTAAAGGTAAGTTTCCAGAATGTGAATGTTACATTTTTCTGCTGTTTTTTGAGTCAACACAATGTGTTCCAAATAAGCATCAACCTTAAAAGTTTAAGAAAAATTTGATGTCGGTAATTTTTTAATGTTCAGATATAAAAATGCTGATCTGAATTGTGAATGTCTGGTAAAACTATTGACTCTCACCTCTGTTTTGCATCTCCCTGTATACATATTTGCTGTACTCCTTAGACGAAATCTTTCCCAGATTTAAGTCTCTCACGTTACCCAACAGCCAGTGAGGAGGGAGCTGATAAACTCCTTTTCTTGACCAATAGGTGTGGGATCGATTTATCCAAAGATACACTAAATACATCCACAGAACCAGCGATAGGGCGATAAGAACTTTAACGGCTTCCCTGAAATAAGTTTAATATTAGCGTTGTTTTGTTCCAAAAATACCAAATCGTGAATTGTTTAAGGTGCTGTACAGTGTGTTTCGCTACTGATCCGTATGATAGTAATTGTGTTGTGTCATTGTGTGCTAGTTAGTTAGTGTTTTTATTGTCTATATCGTGTACAATAAATATGTCACTACAGCTTCTATACGTTTATTCCACCTTTAAACAAACCAATATAACCTTTACTAGCATCCATTGCTTTCTATTTTTATTAACTACCATTAATGGTGATCATGGATGCATTTAGAGGTTAGTTTTGGTTAAAGGTATGACAGCATTTCCAGAAGAGTAAATTTGAAGTCCTAAAAGAGTTTCGAACCATGTTGTAGTTTTCTATGTTTGTAAAAAACGAGAAAGTATGACGTAGGATATACAATAAGTTTCTATGAAGAAATACATCTGTGAGGCAAAGTGCTTTGATCTTTGTTTTTTGTTTATTATTTTTAATTAACTGTGAAATAGAGGCCTTACGAAACGGAAAATTATTTTCAATTACTTATGTCAAAAACTCTTTCTTAAATTCTTAAATTTATGTCCACCATAATAAATTCATCAATAGAATGTTCATATGTTGCCGAACTGTTTAACTGAACTATCTAAAATTCCGAAGATAAATGAGAAAAAAAGTATACTATCTTGACATGAAAAAAAGAAGGACAGGCTTGTAATTTTAAGCTGTCAATTTCAAGTGGCAATAAGAATAACCAAAATTAATTCTGTTCGCATCTCCAAGCAAAAATAATGGTTTTACATTTGATAAACTATTTTGAAAATAAAAGACAAAGAAAAACAAGCTTTCGAATAACCGAGATATGAGGGGCCTCCAAAAACATCCCGTATCTCAAAAATCAAAATCAAAATATTCTTAGGATGCACAACTTGAAATTATTGGTGGCTCAAAAAGCGTGACGAATAAAACATACATTCTAGCAAATGGAACACATCATTTGTAAATTTGAATTCGCTTTGAAATTCTTCAACTTTTTTAATAATAACTTAAATATACCTACACCTAATAGTTTTTCCAATATTTTAATTTCAATAAAAAAATACTAATTTTCACACAAATTTTGGATTTTGGATTGGAAATTTGGATCATTTTAAATTTAAAAATGGCGATCACTCTAAAGGGCACACCATTTTTTTTATAAAATTTCACATAAAGGAACCGTATAAACAGTAGGGAAAATACAGAGTACCTTAAAATGAACTCAAAAACAAAAAGGGGCAAGGAAAACTCCACCTTCAACTCTTTCACCAAAGAATACCTCCCAGTGTTGCCAACTTAAATAAACTCAGTATCGAATTGGAATGGAGCTCGAATGCAATATCAATCGACAAAAGTTTCTAGGCGTCGATTGTTCATTTGTGCTGGCGATAGTGTCAAATAGTACTAACAGCAAAAATAATTCTTAGCTTAGCTTAACCGTGTATTGCCATTGCAATCGGATCGGATTGCATTTGCAGTTATCGAAGCAAACAGCGAGTCTAGCACCACATTTCATATAAAACTGCTTGTTCGCCAAAAGCACGAATAATAAAAACTACGCTAATAGAATAATATGCAGCAAGTTTGATAAACGCTATTTTAGTCACGAGCTCGATTCTCTGTGAATGGAGCAAGTCCCAAATAAAAATTATTCAAAAATAAACTATATTTTGGTGATTAACAAATACATTTCCTGTATCTAGGTAAGAGAATTATTAATTATAACTGCTAGCTATAAAATAGAATAGAATAGAATTTATTGACCACGTTTTGTTGATACAATTATGGCAAGTTTAAATACAGTATGTAGAAAAATATGTATATAAACAACAAGACAATGAATAAATTATATAATGAGTGTATAAATTATATAAAAAATAAACAAAAGGAAGCAACATCAACAAAATTATAGAAAGGCATTTCACAGGCACGCCGTTCACAAACGGCTTTTTGCCTTCAATCACAGCGGGAGTACCCATGTATTCCCCGACCGAGTAAAAGCAGTGCCTTTTAAGAAAGGTTCAGATGTTTTTTTTAATTTTCTATTACCTAGAACTTTCACGTTAGCTAGTAGTTTATTGTACAAGTTTAAGTTTAGTGAATTTGTTTGACTTTTGATATATTTGCAGCTTGCTCCCCCTTTTCCAGGCCCTTCACCACGTCTCCTGCAACTCTGCGAACCGCCTGCACAGTGGAGCAGCCAGTCCTCAAACCAAATTGGGAATCACAAATGCATTTTGTTTTTTAAGAAATCGAAAAAATTGATTTTTTAGAAGTGTCTCCGAGACCTTACTAAATATGGGAACTATTGATATGAGTCGGAAATCATTCGGAGAGTTTGTGTTAACCTTTTCAAATGTTGGAATCACCCTCCCGACCTTAAATTGAGAGCGAAAACTCCAACATCTTTCAAAGTGTAAAAGTAATATTTCTTTAATAAAATTAAGGTACTATGCATGAAGTTTAAAAAAAACATTGTTGGCAACGGCGGCCATTTTAATTTACATTGGCTACTTCGGGTAAGTGAGAACGTTTATAATTACCACTAGTTTTGACAGTTCAATGTTTTAAAATGTGTTTTCTACTCCCGCCTGTAAGGATCCGAGCCATTTCGGACATTTCCGGGATTCTACCGCACGGTTTTGGGAGCGATCGGATGTTTTCGGAGATATTTCCCGCGCTTTGAATTTTGACGTTTGTCATTTCCGATAGTCATATCGGTGAATGTATTCGTGTTGTTCTGAGAAAATATACCCAAAAACTAACGGTTGTAGAAAAAGTATAGTATGCAACCCGGTAAACTGACGGTCACACACACACACACACACACATACAGAAAAATGTTATGCAATATATCAGACAATTTAAATAATACGTGCTACAAGCTACAATTAAAATCAAATGGACTAGTCGGTCACTAAAGTGACATTTATAATTTGAGTTTCCAACAGAAATTGTACATACCGTTGGCATGAACTTTAGTGATTTTTACAGTTTTTATATAAATATCTTGCAAAAGCAATCGTACGATTTTCAAATATTCATGTCTCATCGATACAAACAAAACAGAATTGAAGGTTAGGATCTGTTTTTCTTGCTTATACGACCTTAAAATATTTAATCCTCTTAAAAGCTCCGTCCTTGGAAGATATTTCTTCCAACCAAATTCCAAATCAATTGGAAAAGTTAACTAAACAACATAACGTTATAAAATTGTGTTTATTCCGCTGTTTATATGACATATCCAATCCTCTCTGTCTAACGTACACAGTTAAACAGAGACAACAGAACCGATCGAAACGATAAACGAATATTTTTAACGGCAACTACTAAATATTTTGTTTGAATGGTACTGAATTTAGTAATCCCATTTTATTATTATTATTATTATTATTATTATTATTATTATTATTATTATTTTATCAAATGCCGCTTACCACACTTTTTGCATAATATACTATTCCTTCACACACGTTCTTGTAAACTGATTCTTATTGACCCACCTGTTCGCGCTGTTAACGCTTGCATGAAAAAAAGAAAAATTATACCCCTTGGGGGAAATAAAATAGAGACATTTCTTGACAGCATTTCTACCATTGAACACTAATTTTATCTCCGTCTATAATATATTATATATACGTGTATGTTCTTTACCACGGAGAGTAGTGATCCGATAACTAGTGCCAAGATGACATCTGAGTTATTTGCTGTCAACTCTAATAAGTTTTAAGACGGCTTGTTAGTGTAAATACCTCAATAAATGTTGTGCTATAAATCCCTTCCACATCCTCCTCAAAATGGACATTAAAAATATCATGGCAGTGCGGAAGATCGTCTTGGCTTGACAAAAGACAAAAAGGAAACCAATTTTTGTTTATTCCCCATGCCTAACATTTATAACCAAGAGAATATGGAGTTAAAATTTGACAATTTTTTAAATTGACTTTTTCACAATTTTAGCTATTTTCTATTCTCTGAAATTCAAGAATAGTGATCCTGGACAAAAACCGTGAATAATTCAAGAGAATTTATAAGTATTTCATCAGTTTGAAAAAGAATGGCGGCCATGTCCAGAAGCTAATTTCTTAGCTGATAGCTGATGGTTAATGCCCTGTATTAGAAGATATCCTGGTAACCCGACAGAAATAAGAAATGATTATCGAGATTATTATGGCAAATATAACCCTGTATATTTTCTATATAATGCCAACGTAACAGAAAATTGCGAATATTTTTAAATGTTGTGTAATAGTGTTACCCTGCAAATTTCAATCATACTAACGTTTAAATGTGGCAAGGGCAAAACTAAACAAACGTAAAAAAATAATTTGCACCAAGTTGAGAAATTCATTGTTTTATTCCTACATTCTAACGTAAGGATAGTGTATTAAAACGTCGAAACAATGTCGAGAGAAAAATTGAATTCTTTCTTTAAATAAAAAAGCAACCAACGAAATCGTAACAGAAAGAACTGAACTGACAGTTTTATAATTATTATATAATTTTTGTTTGTGTATTTTTTAATTAAATCACAAATACTAAACAATTTAACAAAACATAATACTCCCTGGGAGCCTAGCGGTCTAAGTGTCTGATTTATCACAATCATAATCTGTTAAAATGCGAATTTTAAATTCACGTGACGCACATGGCGCTTATAATTATTGAATTTTTTATCAAACGAGCTCCTACAAAGCACACGCAAATCCTAAACAAAATGTTGAGAGTAAGTTACTTCGCATTATTTTATTTTGCGCCCACGTGCTCGCCCATGTCCATGTATTTATTCATTAAAAAGTTATTGCCGCCAGAATATACAGGGTGTCTCAATAGTGCTTCGATGGTTAATATCGTCAAAATCGTTCGCGATAGTTGTACAGGATGAGCCAACGATAAAATTCATTATCTCATTGGTTTCAAAAGTTATGAGAAAAGATAGTTAGGATGCACAATTGAAAATTATTTAAAATTATACAGAGTGGCTCTAAAAAGCGTGACGAATAAATTAATAATAACACACACCTAAACCTAATGGTTTCTCCAATATTTTAATTTTTCTAAAAAAATACGAGTTTTCACACCTGCAAAAAAATTGCTATAGCGCCATTATTTTCAAAGGTAGATCACTCATGTTTGATATTAGCGTTAATTAGGATGGTCAAAATAAACGAATATATTTGGATTATTTAAAATTGTAAAATCTCGATTTTCTTAAATGATACGCCCTATATACTAATGTTTTTTATGAAAGATCTTACAAAAAAATACAACGTGTTAAGATTAAAAAATGAACAGGAGAAAGAACTTTGTTAGATAAAGCAACAGAGAGTTATTAGCAATTTTGGTGAAAATAACAGTCAAATTTTAAATTTACAGAAAATGTTAATAATATTAAATACCTAGTGCTTCAAACTAATGTAATTATTATCATGGCGCAATAAATGAGAAAAAATATACCCTTCTACTTGATTATGCATGTTTAGTCTTTTCCGTATATTTTCTTCGTTACTATTTGTTATATCTTCTGGTGTGGGTTTCACATAAACACGATCCCCACAAAAAGTCTACAAATGTGCATCCAAAGAGCGGTGGTTACAATGAACATTCAATTAAATGATCCTTTTTTCTCTATTAATTCATATTTAGCTGCTTACTGTTGATCATTTTTCAACAAAAAAATAGTGCATACGATTGAATAAAATAATAGTAATGGCCGTTTAAATTTTATCAGATACAAACCAATACACCAAATACAAATGTACAAATACACACTGACTGAGTGTGAAAGAGTCGAAGTTAATTGCGTCGAATAAGATTTGTCGATCGACCTTATCGTTCGACATGGTATAGACGCAGCTTAACATTAAGCAGTAATTTGCTTCTTTGCCATTAACCACCGATATTTAACAAGAATTAACAGACAAGTTTTAACACGTATTGGTGGCAGATATGTGGCATACATACGCAATTCCATCATGAATCCCTACTTCTATCTGTTTTATTTAAGTTTAAGTTTTAAGTTTAAGTTAATCTGTAGAATTAATATCACATACTCATTTATATACAAAGGGAGCCAAGTTATGTATTTTTTAAAGTCTAAGGCATGAATCAAAACAAAGGCCATTGTCAGCCAATTTCCAAAAAGTTCAAACCAAGACCGAGAAAATTAGGCAAAGTTTTAAATCCTGATGAGGAATTAAACACCCCTTTATATTAGGTAGGTTGTTTAGCCAAATAACCAATTCCATTGAATTCTATACGCAATAACACTTGAGGATTTGCAAAAGAGTTTTGGAAAAATTGGGAGAAAAATAAGACTAAGTTACAAAAGCTAAAAATAAGACTAAGATGTTCGTAATGTTAGACAATAATCCATGGTCTTTAGTGTGCTTTAAAATATAACTAAATTATGGGAGCCGCTTTTTATAACTCAACGGACTGGAAAAATCTGTTCATGAACTTTAAACGGAGATATAGAAAATCTTGGAGAAAAAATCAACACCCAATGGCTCAGCAAAATAGGAATTAACAAAAAATAAAACTGTGGTGTAGTAGACTTTTTAGCACAACTTGTATATAAATAAATACTTAAAATTAAATCAACATTGACTGCTACACCTTTTGTATTAAACTTTTTATATCGGATCACCTAATGGTAAAATAGTAAAAATATTCATTTTTGATAAAGAGAACGATTTTTTATGATATGGCTTGTATAAGGACGGTGAGTGTTTTTTTTTTGTAAAATAACAAGTTGAATTTAAAATCACCCTATTACTTTAAATTTGTCAAATTTCTTGCTTGATGGGTAATAAGAAAAAAGTTAGAGTGGGTGATATAAAATGTATCACTTAATGATGCGAATCTTCTTTAAAAATAAAATTGTAATATATAATACATAATATTTACCTTATTTTTAACACTGTACAAGACATCTACGTTTTTTACCGCCTGTCCTGATTAGTAAATCATTCTCAAATATTTTACTTGTTTTCAATAATTCAAATTGATTATTTGATTAAGTTATAGCTACTTCATCATTCGGCTTACGAAACCGTTATAAAAATAACCTAGAGAAAAGAGAGACTGTCTGCGATTAGAAATCATTAGTATTCGTTAACATCCAAAAACGAGATGCGATAACATTTATTTACTTACCACTGCATTTCCGCAAAGTACTTCCACGTACACGTATATTAACTACGACACGGAACGACTACAACGTATGAATACTTTTATACGTTCGCGGTGGTGACGTTTTGCGAATTCAGTGAATCACGAAAATCGTAGTTAGCGATATCTCCGGCGGTGCGCTGTATTCAAATGAGAATTTAAGGTTGCCCGCATATGAGATAAAAATCTGATCCCCAACCGGCAAACGAGAATACTTTTACGTGTTTTTTTTTTAATTATAAGAAATAAAGCTTCAGGAGCAACTTATGTTGAAATGGAAACGGAAAAGTAAGTTTATACCTTTTATTGGATATGTTTAATTTATGATTTTCACACGAGTTAACATTCTTTATTTCATTTTATGTTTAGCAATAAACTAACCCCAATTCAAAACCGGAATAATAAAAACAAAACACTCAGATCAAGATATAGATAGTTATTACATCTGAAAGATGTAAAATAAATATTTTTTTATGTTTTTTGTAATGAAATAACGATAATTTGTTCAATGGTAATTTGTTGATCAGTTTAAAGAGCTTTATGTGAAAAAGATCTTTGAAGTAATGTAAGTAATCCTAAGAACTTTTTGGAGTTGGTCAATATCCGTTGCCTTTAAAGTCGAACCATAAATTGAATCTGGATATAATTAATGACTCGCATTGAAATAATTTAATGTTAGAATCCATTATTTCACATTCGGATAGAGTTTCCTAAGCAACCCATTGGCAGAGCGAATTTACATCCAGAGCCTCAGGTTTTTGTTTCATTTTCAAACTCTATAATAACCTTCATTCTTGCTTTTTTGCTCAAACAACATTCTTTACAAGTCACACACTTTTAAATACCATAATTTAGGAAGTTTGAAGGGTTTTCAGTTTAAAATGCTGAGCAGAATAGAGAAGTAATAGATAGAAAAAATAGTTCCCTACAAAGGTTCATATGCAATGATGTCCAAGTAAGTAGGTATAATTATCACATGCACGGCCAAAAGTTTAATAACTGAAAGACCCAAGCCTAACTTTATCCTTGCGTGGGCCTCTAAAAGTCATATAAAACTAATAGCGTTTACAATATGGGAACACGGGGTTGAGTCCCAGATAAAGGACGCCGCACTGTGGGTCCATTGCCCAAAATAGAATGCATTAATTCGATTATTTTCTAGTTACTTAAAAATCTTTAAAAAATTTATTATTTATTATTATTATACATTGTCGGTAAATAATAATACTTTTTTTTCAATTTGCCAGCGTTGCCACATTAGTATTTTTCGGAGTACATTTTAAAGATATACCAAAACAAGAATAAAAAAAATTGGAAACATTTTGCAATTACTGCACAGTTTTATTCAAAAAGCTTCTGCATTCACGTGAAATAATTTAACTGTATTTAAGGAAACAGAAAACACACCGGTTAACAAATTCCAAATATTATTTACCTAAATTAAATTAACTTATTGAAAATATAACTATTTTATTAAAACAACACAGCATACAAGAGATCATACAAAACACAACAAGAAAAAGCCTTAGAATTGGCTTATAAATAACCTTTTGGCAGAGATGTTTTCTACTTAATATACTTTTTTAACCCTGAAACCCATTAGGTAAATTATAATTTTAGTCATTCTCGCTGTCATGACATTCCAGACTCACTACCCATACACTCACAGTCATATGCGGAGGTCTCCGAAAAATAGTCATTTTTTGTAAGGTATGGAAGCTCTGGGCTTTAGAGTTGTAATAACATTCGCATCAAGTCTTTATTCGTGGCAATGCGCGATTTTTTTTTGGGTGTGATGCTCACGATATCGCCGACAATCTTTGTGACGTGCCTCTTGGGCCTCCCCAGAGAGCTGCCCAATAGGCACAACACAATGTTTAATAATATCTGTGGAATTATATAGCAGTTTCTGGACGCTTATGGGCATATAATACCACGAGTAAAGATTTAAATATTTTAAGTATTTCTTCTACAAGGTTTTTCTTACTAGAGACACTCCAGAATTGAAACAACGTTTTTTTCGATATTTCGTACATTTCTAAAAACGAAAAAACAAAAGTAGTCTTGCAATTTTGAGTTTAAACCTGTGTATAAAATGAAAACAATATGCATAAAAATGATGCAATATAATTGGCTCATTGTGCAAGCAATACATGCGATAAACAACTTTAAGAGCATATTAATTGTTAATATTTTTATCACTCAGAGGTTGACATTTTTAACTGGCATAAGCTTTGCGACTATTTGCGATATTTTAGGCTAACAGTTTTTAGTAGTTTACACCCTTGCCTAATAAAAAATGTATATTTTAGCTTGGCACTCGTTGGCCTCCATATTTTTTTACTCTATAGAATTTGAAAAATTAAATATTTATGGTACTTGTCCCGTCACTTCTTGTCAAATCGCAGAAAAAAGACAAACATTTTACATTGCGTGTACAGGCCTAAACCAATTAACAGGACTGACATCAGTTGTCAAATACTTAAAGCGGCATTTGTTCTGTCGTTCTGTGTGAATGACGCAACGGCACGTCGCTAAGATGACGGCAATTATCAGCTGAGCCAAAAAACGCAATGGGTGATGTTATTATTACAGACCATTTAACTTTTTTGGAATCTATTACGTAAAGTTAGAACTTATTATTTTCGGGTTTTATTTGTTTATATAGATAACATTGTTTGCTTGTGTTTAATTTGTTTCTTTTTTTTATTTATAGCGCAAAAGCCAAGCTGTAGAATATAAGATGTATAATATTTATGTGCACCGCTATCCACCAAAAAACACAAATAAAACTAGTACAAACACATTTTCACATTTATTTTAAATCCTATAAATAAATTACATTAATATAATAATATAATAATATAAATACAACCTCTATTACTAGAATTACATTTTGCGTTAACTTATTTAAAAAGCTAAAATTGGTTTGGAATTAGGATCCAGTGGCGTAGTCAGATTTCTGCTGATTCATCTTTTTATACACAAATTGAACTCGTGTTTTGTATAATTATATATGGATAATATTTTAACAATTTTATTACGCCCGTTATGAACTTTTCAAAAATATATGACACATGAGCATATACGTTTATCATTTCTATCTTCTAAAGCTCCAAAAAAAGGTCTAATTGTATTGGCTTTTAGTTGTTTTAGACCAGGTACAAAATTTTTATTTTAAATGGAACATCCCATAAGTGGGCGGCTCACACGCGTGAATTATAATATTTTTTTTGTTCATTTTTTGCAGTAAATAGAAAATGTGGTGGGTCAAAAAGCAGATGTCGATAAATTGTCAGCACCCAATAATATTTTTTTAATTTTTTTCCTCGTAGTAAGAAATTTTTTCCATATTTTATGCATTCCAAAATTCTACTTTTTTGAGTGTTAAGTTGTTTTATTCATTCATATTACGTAATGACATAAAAAAGTCATATAGCTCAATTTATTCTTCTTTCAGATTTCAGATTTTTTTAGCGATTATGTCAAAAAACGTCACCTGGCGGCAAAGGAAACAATTGCAATGCACTCATAGCTTGTAGCACTCTTGATAATCCAATAGGAACCGAGTTTTAAAATTAAAGATAACTTGGTGGTCATTCCAGACACTCGCAAATAATTTCCGATGATAAAATAGTTGACCGATTTATAGATATGTTTTTATCCTAAAACATATTATCAATAACAATACCATTTAAAAATGGAGAATGCTTATGGAGAATGTCATACAGCCTCAAAAGCTTTGGAATCGGTTTGACAGAAAATGAAGAAAAAAAGATGAAACTTTAAAAATAGCAAAGAAACTTTTTTGAAAAAAAAATTTTTTTTACTAAATGTTATTCCGTACTGAAACTTTAAGGAATTTTTCATATCGGAGAAGCAATTGTTCAAATTATTTAAATTTTGGAACTACTTCCTAACTCGTCGACAGTATATTTTGCTCATAATTAAAGTTAGACACACGGTACAGGGTAGATACAGATCGTTAGATATAGAGTTAGATATTTTTTCAAATGGAACCCACCTGTACATTACCTCATAATTAAATTGAATACCAAAATACAATTTCAACAACATATAAGGGTCTAAAGTAACTTTTTTTTTAAACATAGTTTATAACAATTATAATCATCATCAGTTTTGAACATTTTTCACATACCGCTTAGAGAAATCATTTATTTATTATTATGTATTATTATATAATTATAAAAATAAGTTGATTTCTTTGAGGTTTTACTCCATTAACTTAGTAGAAATAAGACTATTCAAAACCAGAGACGCAAACGAACACACAACATTTGATAAGCAGATAAAATGCAAAATAAGGAAAGTAAACGAGGAGTGGTTGAACAATCAATGTAAAGAGGTGGAAAAGCTAGAAAAATCATTCACTTTTTTTAATATGTAAAGTAAAAAAAAAAAGTAAGCAAATCCAAACGAGTCCAACACACATACACGACACATACACACACACATACACTAAAGTTTTTTTAGAGTCCACAAGAAACTAGATCGAGATAAGTGTTAAACAAATGAGGGTACGCGCAGTAGAGAAGTAAGAATAATCCACAACTTCTAATGAAATCCAACGACAAGAGTGGGGGTGACACAGGGAAGGCGTGGGAAAAATTTGCTCCAAATTTTTTGTTTGCCGAATTTTCGTAATTCGGACTGCCAAATACGAAACTCTGAAGTTTTCTACGTAAATATGGTACAATCGGGGTGCAGATAATCATTAGTAAGCCTTGGAAGTTAACGACGCGCTTCATTTGTTTGTGTTGCTGGGTAAATAAAAATTAAACTATCAACTATTCGACAGCTTTCAATTTTCTTCATTGTTGGTAAAAAAACAGCTTTTACTTGGATTGTTATAAATCCTTTTTATTTACGAAAGAGAAATCAAACTATCAACTGTAAAGCTAATTATTCTAATAAAAATTATAAACTTTACATTTTAAAGAAGGCTTATCGCATGTGAGGCACGTGAAACTTCAAAATGGTTTTGTCGAATTTCATTTCCTGCCAAAAGTATCTTTTCACGTAACACCTTATACGACCATCTCTTATTCGACCCCAAAAATAGTAATCTAATGGATTCAAATCCGAGAAACGAGGTGGCCACGGAATAGGACCACCTCTTCCAATCCAAAGCTGATTTCGAACATTCAATGGAAAAAATATTGGCAGGATGAGTTTCCAAAAAGTTAAGGTTAAGGTTGCGTTAAGCCTTGCTGGAATTTCAATCGGACCGAAAAGTGTACCGTTTAATATCCCCCCTCATACATTAACAGAAAAGCTATTTTGAAAATTTCCAAGTCTCATAACTCGAGGATTTTCCTGTGAATAGAAATGATGATATGTCTTGTAAATGTGGCTTCGTCGCTCGACATGATAAAAGGAACGAGTTCCTCCTGGTTTCTTATCCACTCGCTAAACTCAATTCTTGGCAAAAAGTCCTGGGGTCGAAGGGCTTGGACATGCTGGTAATGATAGGGATGAAAACCTTGCATTCTTAACATTGTGCCAACCTAAAAAACAAATTGTTGTAGGACAGCAATCATAATAGGCAACTGTTAAAAAAATACCTTCAAGGCCAATTTCCACCTAATCGCCGCCGGGCGTCGCTTTAAAAATACGTTAATTTAATTACACGCAAAACGTTAAAAAGTTAAGTGAACGGTATCATTTAATTCATTAATCGTGATTTTGAAGCGCCGCGCCGCCTTACCCGGCGATCCTTTTTTGGAAATTAGCCTAACGCAGAGTGAGTGATTTTTGAGAAGATAGGTTAGGTTATTTTTCCTATTCATATAAAAAATATCTCTCCGTGAAAGAAATGCCCGCTACCTCCAAACGAAATCCTGGATCCGCCCCCCAATTAAGGCAACAATAGCAGTGGTAAAATTGTAAAATAAAAGAAAAAAATGATGTTATTTACTATTGACCGGGGTATTCCCGAATCTCTGGAAACAGTTCCAACACTCCTTGTCGGGTCATCTCCCAAATTATAGTTTCCCTTTGGTCTCCTCTATCCACGATTACGTTCAAATGATCTACGCTCAACTAAATGCCTAAGTGCATTAATAAAAAATCGATGACTTTCTACGATACTCTTCTACCGCCTCCATCGCTTTGCCATTGCCGAAGCCGTATACTCTCTATTTGAAAACAACTCCCACCAGATTTAAATAGCTTATTTTTCATCAACAATCAACCTTCTTTAAAATGTAAAATTTATAATTTTTATTCAAATAATAAGCTTTACAGTTGATAGTTTGATTTCTCTTTCGTAAATAAAAGGATTTGTAAGAACAATCCAAGTAAAAACTATTTCTTACCAACAATGAACAAATAATTGACATTTAAATTTTATTTAGCCAGCAACACAAACAAATGAAACGAATCTTTAACTTCCAAGGCTTACTAATGATTATCTGCACATCGATTGTAAACATTAAAATTTAAAAAAAAAAGCGTTTTTCTCGAAAACGGTATTTAACCTTATTTAGGTAGAAAACTTCAAATTCTGCACTCCAAATTACGAAAATTTGAGGCAAATTCTTCCCACACCTCCCCTGTGTTATCCACCCCTGAAGACATCCAATACTAAGTTTTAGTTCGTTAAATAGAACCTAAAAAGTTTAGTAGCTGTACCAAATTTTATTTCAAAATATTTACGTGTTTCGAAAATATTTACAAACAATCGCCATCACCTCTTCAAATTTAACACCCTGTATGTTGAAAACTAAGACGTTTTGGATCATAGTTTATATGAACTTTTATCCTTATTTTGGGTCACAAAATACGTGGCGAAAATATTGACGTCTAATTTCGGGACACTTGTTGCGGGTCGCCTTCTATACAATTTACAAATCTTCTGCCTTCCTGTTGCGTCAGTTGTTGCTGAATCGCTTCTGACTTCTTCAAAAATCAACCTACTTATGTAATGTTTGAGAGACGCGAAGCTGAAGGATGGCATTCCCATATTCGTGAAAGACAAGGACCCTACTCCCGGTTACAGACAAGATACAAAATATCACCTAATCTAAAAGAATACGAAAAAGCTGCGAAACTACGACAAATAAACTCGTCAACAGTTGCCGAATACAAACCGGAGAGAGAAAAATCCGAGATATATATAAATATTTTAAAACAAAATTCTTTATCTCCTAACATTCTCAACAAATTTAATCAAGCATTGAGAAATTACAAAAGCAGAATTTTAATCAATCTATTTTGATAGTTCCACAACAAACCGTTAATTTAATAGCGAAGTATCAAGCCAATATTGTTTCCTTGTCAGCCAAATATACCAATACAACAACATCAGTGGGACGTAAGTGTTCACCTAAGGGAAATTAAATTAGTTGAACCAAATAATGTAAGAAAGGAAGTTAGGTCAAGTTATGCACTTCTGGAACTATCAAAATTCTCCAAATATCCAACTAAATTTACCAGGGTGGTGCAGATTACAGTACAAAAAGTTCGTGACAGCCAAGATGCAGTAAATCAACCAAAGAGAAACCAGAAGACCTCGAATAACCCAAAAATCCAAGATATGCCCAACTACCCTTATTGAGTGAAGTTGAAGCTTACGGGGGAGGAGTTATCTCACCAGCTACACACGTAATAGCGTTATTTTTCATTTTGTCCATGCATAATATATATATATATATATATATATATATATATATATATATATATATATATATATATATATATATATATATATATATATATATATATATATATATATATATATATATATATATGATGACACTATATTCCGGGATATCATCCGTTCGCTCGTTGAACTCCGACTGGAATCCTGCAAATCTTGCATCCGACTGGAATCCTGCAGACGTTTCGCCAAAATCTCACTTGGCATCTTCAATGCTCGCGCTCCGAAAACACTTCGAACACTTCGGAGCGCGAGCATTGAAGATGCCAAGTGAGATTTTGGCGAAACGTCTGCAGGTTTCCAGTCGGATGCAAGATTTGCAGGATTCCAGTCGGATGCAGGATTCCAGTCGGAGTTCAACGAGCGAACGGATGATATCCCGGAATATAGTGTCATCACATCTTTCCATCCGTGAATCAATACGTGAGAATATATATATATATATATATATATATATATATATATATATATATATATATATATATATATATATATATATATATATATATATATATATATATATATATATATATATATATATATATATAAATTTACCGTTAAAACAAAAAATATATCTTTAAAATTTAAGTGATACACTCAATAGGATTCACAATATCAGTTTCAGTAAATTTCGGCCGTATTCCAAGGGGTCTGTGTTAATACTATTTATACCAGCGGTTTTCCTATTTTTCCATTTCCCTAATTCTAGTAGCGATATGTTTGTTATATTTTTCGGCTATAGATCTTCATAGTGTTTTTATCCATTATTCTTCATTGCCAATATAGAGCTGAATGGACCAAAACTTCCGCCAAACCAATGTGCGTGATGTACGAGATGCAACCGCTTTCACAGAACACACTAGATCTAGACCAGAAGAGATAACCATGCACCTGACGTAGTGTTGGGATGTCTGCTCAGTGGTAACCATGAATAGCCGAAAGCTCAACAACATACTTTTTTTATTTATGTTTTTGAGTTTATTTTCTTGTTCGCGGTTTTGAATAGCCTGTAGTTGGCTTGTGTATTTCAACGAAGCAGCTAGTGGCCGAGTTCGCTACTGCACATAAGCGCGGAGTGATGCTACATCAAACGAGATGAAGAAAACTCTAAGTAGTCTATCATCTTTCCAGATTGATCACCATTTGTTTCACTCCTTAAGCGGTCTGAGGGTGATCCGTCAAAAATACAGTCCACTCCTTGCGATTTCCAAAAATTATATTGTCATCTGATTATATCGCAAATCATATCGTTCGTATAATGATTTTAATAAAAACTGTGTGACACACATGACCTCTGTGTGAGTGTATGTTGCCATTAACAACAAAGTGGTGTTTCAACATATATTTTATGCCTTATCAGTAATACAATTTTTAAACAAAGGCGACACTTGTGGGAAAAAATTTAGATGTGCAAAAGATAAATGTATAACAACAGTATTTATTTGTTCCCACAAAAGTTTATTACAACACTAAATAAATATTAGAATATTTTGCAATCTTTGGATCACGAAGTCTAACTTTCATGCTTGAGTAGCATTGTTAATGATTAAATAACTTCTAAACTTGTTTCAAATATTTAGGAAATTGATATTTACATGTGGCAAAGCACATCCATAATAATTATATACAAAAAGAAATTTAAATATAAATATACCAACAGAAGATCAATTTAGGCCCCGTATAACTTCATGTTGACGAGCTGCCAAGTTTGCATCACAAAAACAATGCTAGTGCTTGATGATTCCTTGAATTTTTCGCTACTAAATGATTCGGTAGCCTTTTATCTCTATTTATGTAACTTTGAAGATATCTAATATTGGTACTGTCTTGTGAAGTGGGCGACATATAAGTTTCTTTGAAAAATCTCCTTTTTCTCATACGCATTTTAACATTCCACTTTCAAAGAAAGTATTTAGTAGTAGTAGTATTCATTCTATCAATTCAATCAAAGTAAATGATTTTTCTGGATCAGAGTTGAATTCTTCGAACCACAAGGATTGTAATGCAATTTATATCGGACTCCCTGACATCTTAGAAGGAGCCTTAAAACGAATATTCATTTCCTAAAACCTGAAATTTTTATGGAAGCTGATATTATTATCGTGGTTGCTGCAAACAATTTGAAGTTACGAACCATAAACGCGTTATGAGGCACCAGCTGACTTTTGCAACGACTCACTAGTAGCGAACGATTGTTTTCATTAATTTCACTATGAATTTATAGAACAAAAAGCTATCCACAAAAAAATATTCCCTTAAATTTTCAATAAATTATTGTTTCTGCACGTAAATATGATACAAAGTATGTGTTTAAAAAAATATATAAATAAGTATAAATATAAAAATGATTAGTGTTCAATTGGACTTTAATTATATTCCTCCCTTCATCAGATTCATCACTGTTATCGTTAGAGAACTTCATCCACTTAACTGATCGCGCTCACACCATTTACATACATATTTTCATTCTTCAAATTGCCAACCATATTCATAAGGTTCCAAGTTCATATGGATCCAAGTTCGAAGGGTCTTTTTATAGGCGTTGGTCCAAATACTAGACATATAGTGAAATAGAGTGAAAAATCAGCTATTGGATTTTTTTAAAAATATACCTCACATATACAGGATGGGTCAAAAAGTATATGGAAAATATTTTATTTTATGAGCAAAAAAATAAAAAACATGTCCGCTATTAACTTCTTGAGGAAAGAATCCAGTGGAGAATATCTGGAGATCTTGCAGGCGATCTTCTTCTACCAATCCACATTTTTGTTAAAACTGAATCTCTCTATCCATCAATTGATCTGAATTTGGAAAAGAAACTACGAGAGTAGGAATATTTTGAAG